CAAAACACCTCAGAATTAATACCGGACTATCACAAATTCAAACTGAAATCATCATTAAAATCACTCCTAATCCCGATGCTATTCCTATCAATCTCCACATTCATTCTTATATCACAAACTAATCATTTAAATCCCCATTAATCGTTGACCCTCGGTGTGTGAACAGTGTTCTGTGAACAGTGTCGTGAACAGTGTTCGGTGAACAGTGCCGTGAACAGTACCACGACATGAACGGTACTACCACTTCCAAACATTAGCCAAAACACTAGCTAATCACGGGGTTTCCTTTCCAAAAATCACACAACAGTCAATTAACACTCAATTACCTAAATTCCACTTAAATCAATACTTAATTTCATCCTAAAGCTACCGAAATTCCTCCCCAATTTCAGCCAAATTCGGACATCACAGGGGCAGCCGATTAATCAAGCTAATTCTACCTTAATCAAGCTTAAAAACAATGGTTTAAGGCTGCCACATACCAGAATTTACAAGCAAGGAACCGGAGCTAGCAGATTGGGGAAGGCCGGCGGGATCTGCAGGGGAACCTCACGGAACTACCCAAAAATTGGAGGAACAAGAGCAATTAAAGTAAACCCAACCTAAATCAAGGTGAAAGAGAGGGATTCATGACTAGATCTTACCAGAAAAAGGCCCAAACTCTCACACCCACATAGCAGCCGACGGACAAGGGGGAAGAGCAGAGCAGAACCGGGATTTTCTGGGTTGAGAGGGAAGATTCTAAGCCCCCAAATCTTGTGATTTAACAAGAAAGGAAGAGGAATTTCAAGCCTCTTTACCGGTTTTCAAAGGAAGAGGCTGTCGGTGGCTTAGGGGGGGCTTTCGGGTGCAGGGGAGAAAAAGAAAAGCAGATGCACGGATAAGGAAGAAGAAAAAAAGAAAAAAAAAAAAAAGAAAAAGGAAAAGCAGTTCATCCTTATCCTAATTTCCTTTCTTTTAAGCCCCTCACCTTTTTAAAATTTTGCGATTAACCCCCAAAACAATATTTTCCCTCAAATAAGTCCCTTACTTAATGCTAAAATATCCCCAAAATTTGGGATATTACATCCACCCCTCCTAAAAAGGAGTTTTGTCCCCAAAACTCAAATTGGCAATCATTTCGATTGGTGAATGACTTCACACAATCTAAGACAATACGAATGCCTCACCGACTTTCTATGGTCAAAACATAACCTACTACGCTTCCGCTGCGCCACTCAGATATCAAACCACAACACTAACAAGGAAATCAATCTCACAATACACGGCTAACAAATACAAGGGTACAATAATCATATTCACTTTACAAGGACTGGGTACTCATCACTACTCTAACAAGCCAACAACAATCTCCATCTCCACCCTCTCCAATGGTCATTTGGGAGGTGAGAGATAACTTCACGCCTCAACACAAGTAACTAAACTCGAGTTATCGACGTGATTATGTGGTGCCCTTGACTCAAATCAAGACCCGGCACTCATCAAACACAACATGGCAAGAGTCTAATGACAGATCCAACTAAAGATGGAACCCTATCCGAGACAGATAAACATCACTCGGATATACAGAATCATGAACGAATGAATGCATGCATATGCATGTATGAATCAATGCCTTTATGCATGCATGTATGAATGCCCATGTGTGTATGCATGTATGCGTGTATATGCTCATGTATGTCCTGTTTGCATTCACGTATGAATGCCCTAATGAATACTCAAACAAACAGACCTAATGTGGAAGGCCTTATACATCCTGCCACAATCAAAACCAAGCACACTATCACAAGGGACCAAGTTTCAAACAAGGTCCTACGAGCATAGTGAGCGAGATAAATTTCAAAAATTCTCACCCATGGCAGATAAGAGGAACTAACTGAATTACTATCTCATCAAAACGGATCAGAAAATTCAAGCAACACAAATCAAAATCGTCCCCTATATACCCCATCACTCGTCTCACCACGGTTCTAAATCCATTAACTAGCCAAGTTCAAAACATATCCTAGGTATTCACTTAAACCTAGGCTCTCACATCACAAAATTTTAATCAAACCTAAGCTCTGATACCACTAAATCTGTCACGCCCCAGAACCCAAATCCAGGAACGCGACAGACGCCGTGCACTCGTGAGACGGGTTCCACGAATGCACAAGACTCGGAACTTATTCAAATCACAAACTAATACCATCAAAATCTGAAAATCAAATTATAAAATCTCTTTGATATCATAAATCTCCAATAAAATCTCCAAATACAAGATCATGATTTATTGCTAAATCTATGCTCAATCTCAAAATGGCTAGCCTTCTAACTCGTCCCTCCCCTCGGTTTCCCCCATCCTCAGTATCGCTTCCTGAAATGGTGGACAAGGAAAACTATGAGATAACTCAGTAAGTAATTATGGATAGCCCTTGGGTAAAACTTTGAAGCATGCCAGACAAACCATATAAGCGTAACAGACTTTTAATGATAAACCATTAATGCGGAAATCGGATTCAGTTCAATAACAAAACGTTTCATGACAAACCGTTACATGCAGAAGAAAACTCAGTTCAGTAGTCTCATCTATAAGTCATGGCCAGTGTTTACAAACTCCCATTGGCAGGCGTCAGTAATGGTACCAGTGTTTACAAACTCCCATTGGTAGGCGTCAGTAATAGTGCCAGTGTTTACAACTCCCACTGGCAGGCGTCAGTAATAGTGCCAGTGTTTACAACTCCCACTGGCAGGCGTCAGTAATAGTGCCAGTGTTTAACCCCATAGGCAGGGTGAACCGATTCCACAGAAATACATGTTGACATGTGCTAGCGTTTACAACTCCCACTAGCGGGCGTCAGTAATCATGACTATATCCGAGACAAATCCATGCAAGATTTACAGAAAAACCCGAACTTCACAATCAATCCCGAATTTCAGAACAAACCGGAAAATTTCCATGCGGGCATGGATTTAACAGAAAACTCAACATTTACAAAATTCTTAGTTCATCAAAACAATTCAGTCAATTCCCAAATAGGCATGTTCAACTCCAGAAAAACAATGAAATTCCCATTTTCATTTCTCAATCATGCTCATTTCCAGAAAATCAATAAAATCCTCATTTTCATTCCAATCATGCTCAATTTCAGAAAAACAAGGAAATTCTCAAGAAAATCATCCAAATTTTCATTTCAATTTAATCACACTCAGATGTTAATAAAATCAATTTAAAATCAATTTAAACCTTACCACCATCTCAAAAACGATTGAAAACATGCTTTAAAATCGAAGGGCTTTACCATAATTTACTTACCTCACTCGCACAAAACCGAGCACTCAATCTCAATGCTAACTGACAGAACGATCAGGAACCTAATCAAAACACCTCAGAATTAATA